GCAGACAGAACACTGTATACATAATAAATAAATAATCTTTAAAAAAAATAGCTAGTCTCACAAAGAAAGAGCAACTCCTCCCTGCCTCACTGTATTGGGTGTAGGAACAAGTTCCCTGTCTAGGCTTGTATCTATAGAATAAACCTTGCTGTTGCATTCTGGACGTCCATGGTCTTCAGTGGTCTCTTTGGGGTCGTGATCTGGGCATAACAGTGCAGTTAAGAAAGGGACTTGTAGGGAAGGAGAGGTTGACAGGGGAGGGAGGGAAATTAGAAAGGGCTGGGATGATAATAACCAGAATATATTTCTGATTTTCTCCACATAGTATAAGTGTTTTGAGAGTTTCCCATGTTGATGTATATTATAAGAATGTATGCCTTTTCAGCTAGATGTAGTGATACACTCCTTTAATCCTAGCATTTATGTACTACTGGTTATGTTTCTCATAATTGAGACAAAATATCTGACAGAAGCAACTCAAGGAGGAGAAGATTTGTTTTGACTCACAGCTTCAAAGTGTTCAGTCCATGGTCCCTTCTATGTGTTTCTAGACCCCGGGTGTTCGCTCCATGATGGACAGGAAGCAGAAAGTGAGGAGGGGACTGAGGACCAGGTATAACCTTCAAAGACAAGCACCGCCCCCATGACCTTAAACAACCCATGATGAACTTGCTGAATGGCACAGAGAGATAAGCAACTATCCTTTCCTTCATTTCCATCAATCCCTGATTTCAAGAAAACAAAGGAGAGAGAACCTGGAAAGGACCAGTGGTCAGCATTAGAGACCTGCAAAGGGTCAACAGTCCCCGCTAGAGCAACAGCACAAATGTACACAGTCCCCTCATCAGAGATGTGACATTTCCAAATCTAATACCACCTAGGAAGGTTTGATGGCAGATAAAGTTGGCGGCCTACCCACATCCCTAGCTAATGAGTTTTGGATTGATTTTAATTTTTGTGTGGTGCTGAAGATTGAACACAGGGTCTGACACATGCCAAGCAAGCACCCTATCACTGGCATAGGCCTTGAGCCCAGAAGGATTCATTTTAGAATGCACAGATGAGTTATTTGGCAGGATCAGATAGAGTGTTGGAAGGCACAATAATCATAATCGTGTCCTGAGCTGGTTGTGGTATCCACCTGTAATTGCAGCACTCTGCTGAATCTCAAGTTCCAGATCAGCCTGGGTTACATAGAAGACTTGGTTTCAAAAGGCCCCAAACAATAAAAACCAAAGCCTAGGGCTGTCTCCAGCAATGGCTTGCATCACTGGGTCTAAGTGTGGTTTATGAATCATTGTCATCCACAGGAGCAGCAGCAGCTACAACCTTGTGACCTAGGGCTTCCTTAGGAATGTGAATTTTCACTTCAGATGGACTGATTTAGAAACCCTGGGAGATGGGCCCAACAAGTTGTGTTTTGACAAGTGTCCAGGGTAGTTCTGCTCCAAGTTTATTCATGGTCTGTGCAATTTGATCCTTCTTTTATTTTGGAATTCATTCATCCTATCCTAAAGTAATTAAAACAAAGAGCATCCTGTGCGAAAGCATAGCATGCCTTTGACTCACCTCCCCCAGCAAATTGTTATGAAAATGCATGGCAAATTTGGCTATAAATCATTGAACCAAAAACTCATGAGACCAAGGGATTTCTAGAATAAAGGGGGTGTTTTAGTTAGGGTTTCTATTGCTGCAATGACCAAACACCATGACCAAAAAACAAGCTGGGGAGGAAAGGGTTTACTTAGCTTACACTTCCATATTGCTGTTCATCACTGAAGGAAGTCAGGACGGGAACTCAAACAGGATGGGAACTCAAACAGGACAGGAATCTGATGCAGAGGCAATGGAGGGGTACTGCTTACTGGCTTGCTTCCCATGACTTGCTTAGCCTGCTTTCTTGTAGAATCCAGAACCACCAGCCCAGGGTTAGCACCACCCACCATGGGCTGGGCCCTTCCCCATAGATTACTAGTTGAGAAAACGCTTTATAGCTGAATCTCATGAAGGCTTTTCCTCAACTGAGGCTCCTTCCTCTCTGATGACACTAATTTGTGTCAAGTTGACACACAAAACCAACCAGTACAAGGGGCCACTATAGAATCTACAAACAACCAGAAGCAAAATTTAGTAGCAATTGGGAAACTCTCTCCGACCCAGAGCTAGGAGTATTTGTGGCAAACCTTGGAGAGTGTGCTGGTTGATTTTTTTGTCGACTCACACACCTAAACATTTCTGAGAAGAGGGAACCACAATTGAGAAGATACTTCCATTGGCCTGTAGGCCACCCTGTGGGGCATTTTCTTAATTAGTGACTGATGTTAGAGGGCCTAGCCCATTGTATATAAGAAAGCAGGCTGAGCAAGCCACGAAGAGCAAGCCAGTAAGCAACATTCCTCCATGGCCTCTACATCAGTTCCTGCCTTGAGTTCCTGTCTTGATGGACTGTAAGAGTGAACAGAAATAAACTCTATCCTCGTCTAGTTGCTTTTGGTCATGGTGTTTATCACAGCAATAGAAACCCTCACTAGAACAGGGAGAGGAGCCATCCTTTCCATGAGATATGTATTTCCCTTAGCTAAAGCAGGGAGCAGTGGAATAGAAAAGCAGCCCATACAGAGAACTATTACTGCTTTTCGAATGTTTTTGGAATAACAGCCTCAAAAGTTTCTGGATTCAATGGCCTTGATGGCCAGCTGTGATGGGATGTAGAGCAAATATTCCACATGAACAGTCTTTATGTTGATTTCTGTGGCAGACCGACTCCGGACAGCTATGTCCTGGACTTTGTCAAGCCTTGACAAGAGGTTCCTGGCCTAATTGCAGGATATATGACTAGATAAGACCTTCCTGGCCTAACTGCAGGAGATGGCGATTAGATAAACTTTCTGGAGCCTGTCAACTGCAGGGGGCCCGGGATCAAAGCGACCTCGACCCTGACCCCCTCCTTAGGAATTTTCTCTATCCCTGCTTCCCCTGCTCCCCTCCCTACCTGAAGCCCTGCTTATAAGCCTCAATACCCAGTCAATAAACGAGACCTTGACGCGACTCAGACTGACTCTGTCTTCCTTAATGCGCCTGGTCTCCTTTCTCTCTCTCTCGCCCCCATTGATCTTTCAGGAGGTGCCTCCTCGGGTCTCATCAAATAACCTGGCCCGCGGGACGGGCAGATTTCACTTGTATCTATTAGATTATTAACTTCTCTCATCTCTCCTCCATCAATCTCAGGCCCTTGTGTTCAAATTTAGGACGTCTCTGGGACTTTTTTTTTTTTTTTTTTTGGTCAAAACTGAGTTCTTTTATCTTTCAACATAGATGATTTCTACTTAAAGGACAATAATCCCCAAGGTGAGCAAAAGGGATATTGTAAAACAGTTGCTGATGGGGTGGAATTCTGTCTGGCATCAGGCTGAGAGTACCACGAGAACGTTTCATAACCTGCTCCAACTTTCATTCCTGGAATTCAGTCTTGTGAATGCAAAGCAGGCATATCGCTGGGCTCACTGGTTAATGGGTGTGTCAGCATTGTCGCCGCCTGAGGAGTCCCCCACTTAGGGATTTCCGCTCACATAAAGCTTGTTTCTCCACTATGCCCCCTGAAAGAATGAGTCAGAGTGAAGGAATGTTGTCACGCTTAGGAAGGAGATAGAAGAGATAGTACACACTTCATCTTTAAATGTGGTTGTTTAGAGATAGGGATGCCTTTAGGAGTCTTCAGAATGGTTCATAGGAGATTCTGTGGCTTTTCGAGTTACCTTTCTCAAAGGTTCTAATTTACAAGGTTTAAAGATCAAGCAAAATTTAAAAATCAAGTCAAACGAAAAAAGCCAGTTGTGGTGATGCATACCTTTAATCCCCACACTCAGGAAGCAGAGGCAGGCAGGAGGCAGGCAGGCAGATATCTTAAAAAAGGGGGTGGTGTTAATAAAAAATAAACTACAAAAATGAGTCTGTTTACTTTCTTTTTATAAGGAATTTTCCTTTGTAAATTGCGAGGTTGTCTTGAGATGCCCTGTTTAGATTTAGGGATGAGAAGGGAGCTAATGCAGTTAAGAACATTAGCATTCTGGCCCTTGGTAAGTACAGCTAGCTTTTTTGTTTATTTATTTATTTATTATTTATTTATTTATTTATTATTTATTTATTTATTTTTGTCGCTTCAGGTTTTTACTTTGCGTTTCATTTACGATCCAGTTTCACATTCTCACAGGGTCAGCAATTACAACAGCCACCTCCAGACATCACCCACAATCCGAAGCAGCCAAACATCCGAGCTGAGGTTAAAGGTAGAGCACGGACATGCTTGTAAAATAAAACAGAATTGCACAATTTATCCTTCAGCTCATTCTTCTTAAACCAATGCCCGACACAAAGGCTGATGGCTAAGGAACGGAACACCCCCCCCCCTTTCTTCTTCACGCTTCAAACTAAACATTAAACTTATCCGACAGGCTGAACAAGGTCTCTTCAATAATTAATGGTAAACACATGAAAAACCCTTTATGATCCATAAATATTTTGTTACATAGGGTACAAAAATACTTTTCACGTTTTGCTTGGTTTCGGAGTTCAGGAAGAGTAAGGAGCAGTGGCAGGGTTGGGTGTTCTGGGGGAGGCAAGCACAAGGGAGGCTTCTTAGGCTGTCAGCCCTCTGGACAAGGAGACGACGACGCAGGACTCTGATTAAGTGAAAGTCAGAGGCTGTGGATCTGCTGCTAGATGAGGATGGAGTCTGCAAGTGTGGTGTGGTGTGGTGTGTGTGTGTGTGTGTGTGTGTGTGTGTGTGTGTGTGTGTGTGTGTGTGTGTGTGTCTGATAGGAGCAGGGTCCTTCAAGTCAGAAGCAGCCGCAAGGCTCAGGCCTCCCTGAAGTAGGGTGGGTGTAGGAGTCAGGAGTGGAGAGAGAGACCAGGCTTGACAAGCCTCCGGTGCCAAGACCTGTTGCTATGGCGACAGTGTGGGAACAAACCGTACACTCATATGCACAAGTTTAAGCGTCACAATTCATAAACATGCAAAATCAAATGTCCCTTTCCCTTGATGGGGAACTACGGAAGTAAGTTTGAGCAGGAGGTCAGGCTGTGCTGGGTTCCCATTGAGGCGGGCAAGCTGGGCCTGGGTGTCCCAGTCAGAAGGCCTCCGGATCCTCCTGGAGGGCCTTGGAGAACTGAGGAAGAAGGAAACAAGAGCCGTCCACTGAGTCAGGCTTCAGATTCACAGTGTCTAGAGGGAAGCAGCAGTTCCGCACAGGCCTCGGGTGGCAGTGAGGGCAGAGCCCTGTTTTGGCCCCACACAACCCAGGACCAACTCCAGGGTGACAAGACTGAGGAGCTAACAGAACTGGCGGTACTTCCATCCTTGCTGAGTGGTATCTGAGGAGGGGTACCAGCGCACCTGAGCATGAAGGGCAGCAGCAGCAGCAGTGGCAGTTGGGTAGGTGAGCGTAGTATGTGAAATGGCTGGGGTCAGCTCTGTGGTGTAGAGCGGGTAAGGGGCCCAGGCCTCTGGGGGTGCAGGAATCAGAGCAGCCCCCATCAGGTCATAAGGGTCCCGTGCAATCAAATGTGCTCCTAGGGCAGGTTGGACATTGGTGGGATTTGGTGTTGCTATTAGCTTGCTTTTGGCCATCTTGGTGTGTGCTTTGGCAAACTCTAGCCTCAGGGTCTGTGGGTTCTCCCGATCAAAGAGAATACCATTCAATGCATTTTTGGCTGCTTCTGCTCCTGCCCGGCTGTCAAAGATCACAAAACCAGCAGGCTGTCTTGAGGTGAGCTTGATCAGGGACCCTTCATAGCCCTTGAACGGCCGGAAGAGCAGGTAGAGTTCTCTAGGTTTAATATCCACAGAGAGGCCACTGACAAACAGTGTGCGGACCTCCTCCTCCAGCGGGCCGCCGGGGGCCGTGTGCAGTGCTCGATGTCTGGCTTCACGCTGCTCATGGTGAGGGGAGGAGGGGGGAGGCCGCAGAGAGGGGAGCGGGACGCCGGGCCCCCGAGGTGGGCAGGGGCGCGGTGAGCGGTGCGCCTCCCCGCCCCCCAGGAGCGTGCGGGCTAGTGCTATTTGGTTTTTTGTTTTTGTTTTTTTGAGACAGGGTTTCTCTGTGTAGCCTTGGCTGTCCTGGAACTCTGGAGACCAACCTGGCCTCGAACTCATAGAGATTCACTTGCCTCTGCCTGTCTCCTAAATGCTGGGATTAAAGGCACTGGCCACCACTGCCCAGCTTAGCTTGTTGTTTTTAACATCTTTATTTGGTAAGTATTTAGGAAAACAAGCATACCTTTATAAGCAATTCTGATCTATCAGTTGTGTTGAAGCTTCTAATTCCTAGCCAGATTCCGTAGTGAGGGGCTTCTTCCCCACCTTGTGTGCTACTAGAGCAAGACTCCACTGAGGAGGTGATGGGCTCTGCCTGTCCTGGAACTTGTGTCTGGACCCTGTTGGGTCCAGGGCCACGCAATAATGGGGAAGATCATCAAAGTCAATTCAACCAGAAGCAAACTTTATTCCAGAAAGAAAAAGAAAGAAAGGAAGGAAGGAAGAAAGAAAGGAGAAAAAAATATCACCATGGGGGCACAAAAGCTTATCAGCTAGCTGAGACCACAGCCAGAGTTGGATTTTGAGGCTGTGGCAATGGAGGTGGGTTCTGACCCCCTTTTTATAGTAAGGGGGAGAGCATCAGGCATGGGGTGTCTGTTAGGAGTCATGTAGAAACATCAGGCATGGGATGCAGGCTAGAAGTCACGTAGAAACATCTATTAAAAGTTAACTTTGGTCCAGGCAGTTGTTGGCTATGAGGGGCAAGTGGCTTAAAGACTGTTGACAGAGGAGCTGGCTGTAAGCAGAGACCCATTGTTGGAAGTTAACGTTTAGAGCTGATGAGTGTCAGCTTTTATTTTTTTAGGTTTACAATTTTATATTTCTATATTCCTGGACCTTTCAGACCCCACTTTTCCATCAGTGGTCAACACAGACGTGCACAGACTATACATGGCTGCAGTCCTCTGACGGAAGTTAGGCTTCTGAAAGCAGAGATGGGCACTGAGAGACAACAGCTGAGAGTTCCCATGATCTCTTCAGTGATTAATTTCTGAGCTGTTTACTTATACTCATCTCAGTACTGCTTTTAGCATAGCTCTACTTCCCTAAAGACAAAGCTTGAATTCTGAGCTGAGCTCCTTGCACTTAGCTCTGTTTTTCTTTCAATTTGACTGCCTAGTAGTGGATGCTTCCCTACCTATGTGACCCGAAAACAGTCAGGTCTCCAAATCAGGTTTCCAGATGTTGCCTAGATCAAGTGTAGGATACAGCTTGAGTCCTTTCCTGGAGGCTCTTCAGTCTCTACTGGAAGTAGACTTTTAGTAGGTCCATTTTAAGCATCATTCCAGGGATGTCTGTCAACCAACACATTTCTCGGCTCTCCTCAAGGATAGGAATTGTGAGCATCTTTCAGAAGACTCCCCAGCCAACCCACAAGTGGACTTGTTCAAGTCTTTCCTCATGGTCTTTCAAACTTGCCCAGTCTTAGTAGTTTCTTAATAGGCATAAGAGTCAACTGCTGAAGAGACTCAGATCCATGTGATCAAAGCAGGTTTCAGATCCCAGCTATGCTGTAGTGTTACTAGAGTTGCTGTGTTCAAAGCCTTCAAGATCCAACAACTAGGCTCTGCTACATGTACTCACTAGGACAGTTAAAGACAGTTATCCCAGCACTTGGGAGGCAGAGGCAGGCATATCTTTGAGTTCAAGGCCAGTCTGGTCTACCTAGTGAATTTCAGGCCAACTAAGTAAAAAAAAAAATTAATGTGTATGGGTGTTTTGCCTTGCATATATGTCTGTGTGCCATGTGCATGCCTGGTGCCCACAAGGCCAGAAGACGGTGTCAGTTCCCCCTGGAACTGGAGTTACAGACAGATGTGAGCCACTGTGTGGGTGCTGGCAGTGGAACCCTGTTCCTCTGGAGGAGCAGCCAGTGCTCTTAACTGCTGAGACATCTCTCCAGCCCCTGTTGTGCTCCCCCCAAATGATTTTTATTTATTGTCATGTATATGAGAGTGTTGCCTGCATGAGTGTATGTATATCATGTACATACCTGGTGCCTGTGGGGGTCAGAAGAGGATGCAAGATCTAGAACTGAATGGTTGTGAGCTACCATGTGATGACTGGGAGTTGAACTCCGGTCCTCTGCAAGAACAACAAGTGATCTTAACCATTGAACCACCTCTCCAGCCCCTATAAAGAGTTTCAGGCTATTTGTTTGTTTTGAGAGGGAGTGTTGTATTCCAGGCTGACCTCAACTTAGCTGTTTAGCAAAGGACTACAGACATCTACCACCATGTCAGGTTTATGCAGTGCTGGAGATGGAGCCCAGGACTTCAGGCATGCTAAGCGATCACTTTATCAACTGCTACGGGCCGCAGGAATATATTATAAGAACTCAGCTGTTTTTGGCAAAGCCACCACTGAAGGGATCAAGGAATTCCTTCAGAGGAAGCCAAATTCCAAGGAGCTTTTGGTATTATTTGGCTTGTTATATATCAGCTGTCTTCTGTTATGAAAATCATGTGTGCCTTCATAGTTTTTCCAATTGATTTTTTCCTAAGAATTGCTAAGAGTATGGACTGATCACTCTTTGGACATACACATTCAAGGTATTTGGAGAACAGCCTCAGGAAAGGTTTCCTTCCCCCCAGCCCATCTGTTTCTCTTCTTTCAGCACTGAAATCATATATCTCCCTTAGCCACTTTCAAGGACTAACAGAAACAACAGTCCAAACCACTACATAATAAGTCTCCTGATTTAAGGTAAATTCCACAAGGAGACACTGCCTAGGTCAGGTGGACATTAAGTAATAGCTTACACAATTTAGCTCCGACCCTCCTTTCTTACAACCTTACAACTTCATAGACCCCTAACTTCTTACCTAACCACTTCTTGGAATGTAGACTGAGCACATAGATCCCCTTTTTGATATACTAACCGGTCATTAGCACTCAGTTGACCTCCTCTTTAACCACTCCCATTTTGGATTGTAAAAGAAAGCCTGGTGGTCACTGCCTGAGGAAAATTTTTACCTGCCTTTATGACCCCGTAAGAATTCAAGCCTGGTGACCTTGCTCTGCGAGAGGATTGCTATTGCTTGGGTTTGTAACTGGATTCCTGAGAGACTTAGAGGAACGTAGAGAACTTAGAGGTGGAGAACAGAGAGGTATAAGGAGGATTTTGACCAGAGAAAATGTGTGGACAAGACGGAAGATGAGGAAGAGTCAGATGGGGAAGTCCTAGCTGGGTAAGAACGAGATGAAAAGAACCTAGATGAGGCAGAATTAAGATGAGAGAATTAAGATAGAAACTTAGAGGGAGCAGTAGATAAATATAGAGAGAAATCAGGCAAGAAAGGAGCTAGGCAGGAGAACAGAACTGAAGCTGTGTAGATAGGATGTTATGCCAGAGGAATTAAAGCAAGTAGACTAAAGAGCTCGGTGTGCCGAGATTCATTTCCCAAAAATAGTCCTCACTGTTCATAGATGTCTCTCCTGAGCCCCTGGGAAGTATTAATATTAAGGCTGGTCCTTCTAATATTATACAAGAATCAACTAAGATATATGCAAATCTTTTCTGTCTTTTTTGAGACAGTGTGTCACAAAGCCCAGTCTGGCCTTGAACTCGCTGTGTAAGCTGAGCTTCTGGTTCTCCTGTCCCCACTTCCTGAGTGCTGGTATCACAGCTGCGCAGCACCGTACCTGGTTTGTGCAATGCTAGCTTTGTATGTGCTAAGCAAGCAGTCTACTGACCTTGTTACATCCCCAGGGAGGTATAGGCTTAAATAGAGGATAAGAAGTCTGCATAACTAAGCAATTCTGGTTAAGATAGGGTTCTACCTATCACGGACAGATCACTGTCAACTGCTAGGCTGTCCCTTGAGATGGTCTGATAAGTTATAAAAACCATGTGAACTCTCTTTCCTGGAAAATATCACACCTTTTCATCCTTCCCCACCCACTGGTACCAGGGCCCCAGCGGTTTCCTTCTGGGGTAATTCCAGTTTCTTGAGGTCCATTGCCTCAGTTGTCTGATAGTTGAGGAGAGAGTCCCAAGTGTAGGAAGTGAAGTTTGAATTCCATTGGCTTCATCTTCCAAGGGGGGGCAAATGAAATTGGGGTAGTATGATTATAAGCTTGTGCAGTTTTAAGTTATTAAATGTACCTTAGCAGCTCATTGCTGTTATTTTTCTTAAAGATACTGAGATAGGCAGGTATAACCCATTTCAAGTTTCTCAGTTTTTTCCCTTCTGTTCTGAGATGAGGGTCTCACTATGTTGCTGTGATGTTTTGAATGACAATGTCCACCAGAAGCTCAGATATTTGAATACAAAGTCAGTTGATGGTGCTGTCCAGGGAGTTTTGTCAGCTGACGGTGCTGTTCAGGTGGGTTTCAGAGGTGTGACCTTGCTGTATGTCACTGGTGGTGGGCTTTGAGGTTTCAGATTGCCTACAGTCCTAGTTCTTTCTTTCGCTGTTGCCTGTACTTGATTTCACGCCTCAACAAAGCACTTATATCTACTGAAAACAGTTTTTAAATGACATGGACTTTTTTTCCTTCCTATCCATGTGTTCTCTGCTGGAGATATGACTCCGTGGTAGAGTATTTCCCCATAATTTGTAAGGCCATTGGTTTGATCCCCATCACTTCTAGAAAAAAGCAAACAAACAAACTCTCTATTCATAATGAATTTATAGACAAGTGTGTTGGCTCATACTTATGATCTCAGCACTGGAGAGGATGAGGTAGGAGGACTGCCACAAATTTAAGGCCAGCCTGACTATAATGAGTTCCAGGTCAGTCTGTGAGACTCTGTCTCAAAGACAACAACCCCGAGAAAAGCATCAGAAAGTGGCTTCATTTTCAGTTGGCATTGTGACACCCACTTATAATCCCATC